AGGCCCTGAAACACAGTTTTACTCCAGTGAGTACTTTTTAACGTTGGTGTGATGGAATTAATTTCCAGTTTCACAGCGTCTATAATCACTCAAGGGACTGACTTCTGGCCATGCCTGTGGGGGTTATCTTGATGGTGTTGGTTGCGGTTAGAGGATCAGTCTTAGCTGTAGGTAAGACCTGAGTTGAACAGTGAAAAACTGAGCACTAATGTCTTAGTTAGGGTTTCTATTGTGATGAAACACCTTGACCTAGAGCAAGTCAGGGAGGAAAGGGTTCATTTGGCTTCCACTTCAGCATCGCTGTTCATCACTGAAGAAGTCAGGATGGGAACTCACACAGGGCAGGAACCTGGAGGCAGGAGCTGATGCGGAGGCCATGGAGCAGGGCTGCTTACTGGTTCTTATAGAACCCAGGACCACCAGCCCAGGGATGGCCCCGCCCACATTAATCACTAATTGAGAAAATGCCTTGCAGCTGGATCCCACAGAGGTCTTTCTCTGCTGACTAAAACTTGTGTCAAGTTGACACACAAAGTAGTCAGTACAACTAGTTCAGCACTCATAGATCTCAACCTAGCTGTGGACACACTGTGGCCAGCTCCCTCAGGCTCCAGTGCTGAGGGCGGGCTGAGGCCTCTCCACCGTGGCAGCCAGTAGCTTGAGCTGTGAGATGAGGTAAACCTTTCTGGCCTTTTTTTTTTTTTTTTTTTTTTTTTTTTTAAATAACAGGAAAAGAAACTAAGACAGTTGGCACACAGAATACTGACTTTTCATTATGACTTTTTAAATTTATTTGCTTATTTGTTTGGAGGCATGGCTAGTGCGTGTCATAGCACGCCTGTGGAGGGCAGGAGGCAACCCGTGAGAACTGGTTCTGTCCTTTCAGCATATGGGTTCCAGAACTCATCAAGTGCAGGGAACCATGGGGTTGGCCTGGCCTAACTGCCACACATCATAGGTTTCTCAGGTTGGAGTCTATGGTTCCTGGGGCACTGCATGGCTTTCAGCCCCTGAGAATCAAGGCACTCCCTCAGGTAGTGAAGCATTCATGCCAAGCTACGCTTCTCTGTATTGTTCGCTTAGAAGTCAAGGAAGCATGGAAGCTTGGGTGAACAATTGGTCTTAGACATTAATCTTAAGTGCCCTGTGAAGTTTGCAAGCATCATTGTGTCCCAGCAACAACTGTATTGATCCTGGAAATTGATGTTATATTTTGTTTCTCACAAGGGCATGCAAAGTCTGATTGTTCTCAACAATACTGTCATAACCCCGGTTTTGCTGTGGCCAGTCCAACTTGAGCCTGGTTTAATTTCTCGCCTGCCATGTCAGATAACCTTGGCCTGGTAAGTAAGCATGGGCTCTTAAAAGTCAAGCTTGGTGGCCCTCACTATAAGGATATGATTTTACTTTGCTCATATTGTCCTCTCCCATTGGTCCTCCTGTTTACCCCTCCTGCTCTGCTCCCCTCCCCAAACGTTCCCTCCTGCTTCTACGTCGTTACATAGAATATTTTAAAATGCAATCTGTAGTTGTCTTTCCTTTCTCCCTTTGCGGGCCTGCCACCCAGCTCCCAAATAAATACACAGAGACATTCTCATTTATGAATACACTGCCTTAGCTTGGCTCATTTCTAGCCAGCTTTTCTAATTTAAACTATCCCATTTCTCTTTAACTACATTTTGGCTTTTACTTTCTCTGTTCTGTGTCTTTCTTTTCTTTATACTCTGTGGCTGGGCGTATGTGGCTGTGTGGCTGGACCCTGGTGTCCTTCTCTCCTCTCAATTCTCCCTCTCTTCTATTTATTGTCTCTGCCTGCCAGCCCTGCCTATCCTTTCTCCTGCCTCGCTATTGGCTGTTCAGCTCTTTATTAGACCAATCAGGTGTTTTAGACAGGCAGAGGTAAACAAATGCAACATAAAAAGAATGCAACACATCTTTGCATCATTAAACAAATGTTCCATCGTGTAAACAAATGTAACACCTTCGACTAATATTTACAACAGCGATATTTACATCTAGATCATGCATGATCAAAAACATGTTTCTCAGTCTGGCTTCCTCTGGAAATGACACAATTTCACCCTTTTTCACACCTGAGCCTGACTACACTTCCAATCTGTAATAGAGTACTTGTTTTCCATTTCTCTGCCAGCTTGATGGGCAGAAGGCAGTGTCTGTCGTGGTCAGTTTGCCTTGCCTGTTGTGAGAAAGCAGGCATGTCTGGGGACTGCTTTGTTGTGTTTTATTTTGCTTGCCGCCCCATCTGTCTGTGGATCTCGTTTCCAAGTGCAGGGCAACAGTGTGGTAACTGGATGTTCCGCTGACTTTATGTTACGTGCTCAGGTGTAAGTTTTCATGGCGTTACCTTTACCAAGACTCCGTCTTTCACCTACTGTGTTGTGGCTGTCAACTTTCCTGTCTCCAACTGGGTTCTTAACTTGTCCTCTCCAAGAATGAAGTGGGCAGACAGGAAAGCGTGAACCAACCAGGAGGGTTTGATTTGTATGTCACAACACAAGACAGGCCAGGGGCACCAAGCAAGAGCAACAACCCAAGCCGGGCAAAGCTCTAGGTCTAAGCGTCTTGAGAGGTTGCCAGTGAAAGTTACAGCTCTAGGTGCTCAGACAAGTCTCAGGATGTCAACTGTTCTCCCTGGAGAGAGCAGGTCTCAGAGTCAGTCAGTCTTTAAGGGCAGGAGTCAGTAGGTTAGTTTCTGGCCGGCCTCTGCTTCCTGAGTGCTGGGATTAGAGGCATTTGCCACCAGTGCCTGGCCTGTTTCATTTTTAGATAGAGAAGTCTTTATCCTCCTTGTCTCTGAGAAGTAGTGGTAGCCACATCCTCAGAGCCTGGTTTCAGGTGCAGATGTGACCCCCTTAAAAGGAAGAGAAGGGTCTGACTTCCTCTTTTGGGTTGTGGTCAGAGCACCTGAAAGGCAGAGACTGCATCTTCTGGAGCAGGAAGACTGTCACGATTACTTACTATTATTTGTGTAAGTACTTCCCTAATGAATACCTGTTTATCATTTATCTTGGGTCTTGAGGACACATTTAAACCCCTGCCTTCAAGTAAGTATAGCAAAAACACTTTTTTTTTTTTTAAAAGGGGTTTTACCTGCCCACTGTCTGTGCGCCTTCTTCATGCCTGCTTGTGAGCCACCACATGGGTGCTAGAAATCAAATCCTGGTCCTCTGCAAGAGCAGCCAGGGCTCTTATCCACTGAGCCTTCTCTCCAGCCCCCACAAAATGATGTTGTTGTTGTTGTTGAGTCAGGGTCTCGCTATGTAGTCCTGGCTGGCCTGGAACTCTCAACATGGAATCTCTCACAGGAATCTGCTGGCCTTTGCCTCCTGAGTTAAAGTCCTCAACTTCCACTTCAGGCTGCATACATTATTAATCTTCTAGACTACATCCTTTCTACAAAGTAACTTCCAAAGCCACCAAAACTATGTACTCTCTTGAGCCGTACACCCCTTGGGTGTGCGGTCCATCCCCAATCTTGCTTCACCGAATTCTGAATCCTTCCTGCAGTGTACACTAAGATCCCGGGTGAGTTTTTCAGGCTCCGAGGTTGTTTACCTCTCGTTGCCAGTGACATCTGTAAGCACTCTGAGGTCTTCCCTTCCTCACAGAACCCAAAAGCCCGAGGGCTTGCAGTGGAGATATTACTAAGCAGCTGCCTTGCGGTCTCGCTCTCCTTGGGTGAGGCCTGACAAATGCAGACTCTCTCGCCTCAGTTCCATTCAGGGGTCAGCTCAACTATGGTTTCCTTTGGGTTCTTAGTCTTGTTAGCAAAATAATTTAAAACGGATCCCGAATGGAGGCCATGGGCAATTTTCATTAAATTTTGAGGAAAAGAGGATGAACAAGCTGAAAAAGTTGTGGCCTCCAAGAGGAGAGGGACAAGGAAACTGCCCGCTAAGTTTGCCAAGGAGGTCCAAGAAACAGTAAGCTCAGAGTCTCTGGGAAACTATGGCTAGGCTTTTAGCCGGTCCCCAAAAGAGACGAAGAAAAAGAAAAGGGAGCCAGAGAGGCAGCTCACCACCAGGGCTGCAACAGAAGATTCCCGGGTCCCACAGGGCAGAAAAAAGTGATTCCTCCAAGTAGTCGTGTGGCCCCCACCTAACACTAAATAAATGCACTTTTAAAAAGCTAAAGAACGGGTCGGAGAGATGGCTCAGGGATGAAGAGCAATTGCCGCTCTGACCGAGGGCCCGGGTGATCGGGCCCTCGGCACCCACCCGGCGGCCAGCTCACTCATAGGGCACACGCCTGACGCACATTCGTACACGCAGGCGCAACACTAATGCAGCTAAAAGAAGTAAATCCACAAACACAACAGTAATGAAAAAGCAAAGACTCGGAGGGCATTCCTTCCCGGCAGGTTGAGAAAGGGGAGGGAGTGGGTTGGTGAGCAGGGGAGCCCACGGGGGTGCGTGCAGCCGCGTGCATGCATTTCCTCGCCAACGCTCGGCTCCTCAGCAGCCCAGGTGGGCGGTCCCCGGTCCCGCCCTGCACACAGCTAGTTTCATGCCTTCATGCGGCACCCTCCCTTCGGCCCGCCACCGCCACCGGGCATGGGCACCGGCCCCCGCTCAGCGCCCCCTCATCCCCGGCGGCGGCGGGGCTCGGTGTCCGCTTTCACGAACCCGTGCACTTTATTTAGGTCGTCACCGAGACTCGTTCAGCCGCAGGGTCGGTGGAGACGGGGGCGGGGAGGGCAGAACTGCGGGGCCCGGGCGAGCCGGCCCGGGACGGGAGGGGCCAGGCGCACGGGGAACTGGGAAGTGGGGCGTGGCCGGGCGCGCGGGACGCTGGGAGCCCGGGCGCGCGGGACGCTGGGAGCCGCGCTCCAGCCGTCCGGAGACAAGGGAAGGGGGCGGGCCTGGGCGCGGGGAGGTATGGGAACGGGGCGGGGCCTGCGTGCGTGCGGGGCGGGGCCCGCGTGCGTGCGGGGCGGGGCATCCCAGCGCGCGATCCTAACGGCTGAGGACGCTGCGCGGGAGCCCACGCGGCCGAGGCTCCGCCTTGCGTGGGTTTGAACGGAGCTCCGCCCCTCGCTCCGCCAATTGGCGCTCGCGCGGCGGCGCCATGGCGACCCTTTGTGGGCGCTGAGTGGCCTCGGTCCCGGCGGGGCGGCGGGCCTGCCCGGCGGCGCAGGTAAGCGGGGGTGGGCCGTGTGCTCCTGCGAGCGCGTCCGGCCTCCGCGGGGCCCGGGGCCTCCGTCCTCGGCGCCCGTGACGCCGCGGCGCGTTGAGTGACACACACACACCGAGAGCCGCGGCGGCGGGGACGAGCCGGCCCACGCTCCCAGCTTCCGCTCTCCCTCCCTCCCGCGGCCCTGCCTTCCTGGGTCCCCCCTCCTTTCCTTTCTGCCCCGGGGTCCCTCCATTGCTTCGGTCCGCGTCGCTCTCCCACCCCAACGGCCCGTGGCCGGCGTGGCCGCCACTGCTGTGCGTTCCCCGTCAGAACCGCGCGTGGGCTGCAGTTTGCGGGGCACTGGCAGCGCCGGGCTCGGAACGTGTGCGTGCTGGCTAGGGACGGATCCTGAGAGGTCAGGGTGGGCTCCCTGCAGCCTCCCTCGGCCTGGTGAGTGTTGGCCTCGACTTCTTGTCCTTTGTCTCTTGAATTTTGATTCCCGCTGACGTTACGCAGGGTCTCGTGTTGCCCGCCCTTCCCCTGCTACCGTGGACCCCACTTCCTTATAAACCGATCATTTGTGGCCCAGGAGATACTGCCTGGAACGGGGATCTGTAGAAACTCGATTGGGAGAGCCAGCCTGGTCTTCCCTAATCCGGCTTGAGGCTAAATGGAACCAGGAAGAAAAAAAAAAAATATGCCAGAGACATTTTGTATAGTTTCTCTGACCCAAATAGGATTCCCAGGGAAAGGGGGCCCTCCCAGAACCTGGGACAGATGTACTGGCCCAGACTGCATCCGTGTACTTTCTCTTGTTGGCCTTTGTATCTGACTACCAGATGGCAGGACTGAAGTAGCCTTTGATTTAAATGATCCACAGGAAACATTGTCTGCACGCAAAATTAAGATTTATGTCTCATTTTTGCACGCATCTTCGTCAGGGTTTTATAGATGTAATTTAAAATGCAGCCAGGAATCCTCTTCCCATTTTAGAGGTGCTAGTCTTAGAGGGTCAGGAAGTTTCCCTCAGGATGCCTACTGCCAAGCATAACAAAGTCCCATAATACTTCCAAGGAACAAATAAGGAATTTTTAGTTAACTGTTTGTACAAAATCTCAAGCAGAAATAGTGAGACAATAAACTTCATCGCTGGCCCCAGAACACCTTCCCTGCTTCCAGTTGCTTTTGAGGAAGTAGTTTAAAGCAGTTGTGATTTTCCTTGTTGTTTTGTTTTTGATACAGGGTTTCCTTTAGCTCTGGCTGGCCTCAGACTGACACTGTAGCCAGAAGTCACTGTAAACTCTTAACTTTTCTTGTCCCTGTTTGCTTGGTGTTGGGATTGCAGGTGTGTCACCTTGCCAGTTCTGAAAGCATTAAACCCTGATTCACCTTAAAAATCTAGCATCCAGATGAGTGCTTGACCGGCTATAGTACAAGGCCTGCTTGTGGTAGGTCTAATTCATGTAAAGCCAAGACTCTGGTGGCTGCCTAAACCCGTGGTCAGAGCCCAGGAAGCTGGGTGTAGTGCTGATCAGGACCTGTGCTGGTGATACAGGCCTTCACCTTCAAGTTTCCTCTTTTCTTTCCTCTTGCTAGTTACACCGTCACCATCCTGTTCATAGCTTAAGTTCTAGAGTGACAGGTAAGCAAACACAACTGTACATTTCATTCCGGAGCTTTTGTCCTGGAATACCCCACAGCTTACTTTGTGACTTCCCCTCTCCTTTTTTTAAGCATGTGTGTGCATGTGTAAGTTCATGTGTGCCATCTGTGTGGAGGTGGTACCCTCTGAGACCAGAAGAAGACATTGAATCCCTGGAACTGGATTTAGAAGCAGTTGTAAGCCATCATACGAGTTCTGGGTACCCAACCTTCATCATCTGTAAAAGTCATCTCTGCAGCCACGCTGTGTTTAAAACTTTAAATCTGAGGAGGGTGAACAAGAGTGAAGAGCAGAGTCTGGCCCTAGTAAGATAGTGTTGGTAAAAGCTCTGTTGTGCAAGAGTTGTATGTACCCTAAGAAAAAGGGGAGATGGTGCACACCTTTAATCCCATCACTTAGGAAGCAGAGACAGGTGGATCTTTGTGAGTTTGAGGCCAGCCTAGTCTAAGATTGAGTTCCAGGACAGGCTCCAAAGCGACACAGAAAAACCCTGTCTGGAAAAAAGTGTTAAAAAAAAAAAAAAAAGCTGGGGGGGGGGCAGAGAATGTTTAACTTGCAAAATTAGTAAATCCGAAGAGGCAGTTTTGATAGCAAATATGCAAAAATTAATGCAGAAGGAAGTTGGTAAGGCCTTATACTTCCTAGGATGGTGCTGGCTGTAGACTGCCTGGTTTGCTTATGCATGCATACAAGTAGGCCCTCAGCAGAAATGATGATCCACTTGTTTTATGTCGTGGTGAACAACGTGTGGAAGCTAGTGCTTAGAAGAAAGGGCTGGGAAAAAGGGACCTTGAGAATGGCAGGTTTTCTCTGCATGGCTACAACTGTGGAACATTTTTGTTTCCTGATTTTTGATTCTCTTCCAGCTTGTCTAGTGAGCTGTGGAGATAACCAACCGAACAAGGGAGGGCATGCAGAGGCTGTGTGTCACCAGCACACTGTAGCTGGGAGTTGTTCCCATCACTGGCAGTCTTGAGGAAAGCTTTGCCGGGCATGTGGTGGCTAGGGGTGGGCCGACTAGGGGGATGGATCATCTCCTTTGTGAGAGACACAGCTCCATTCTGTAATCACAAATTTAAGAAGCAAAACTGTTTTCATTTTATGACTCTGCAGAAATGGTTGTCAGCCGAGCAAAAATAGCTTCCCAATTTGGCACAGAAGATGGTTTTTAAAGTCCCTGTTGAAAACACTGCCTTTTTGGTGCTCTGACATGGCCTCACTCACTGTATCCTTAGCAGGCCTGGAACTTGCATGTAGACCAGACTTGCTTTGAACTGATGAGATCCACCTGCCTCCAGTGGTGGATTTTAAAGGCGTTTACCATCATCACACCCTACAGTTCTATCCTTTTCTTCCCATAGGTTGGTTCTCTAAAGAGAGAAAACCTTCACATTTATCTAGCATAGGATACAGAGCCTCGTCTAATGGACATTCTGGAGTTCCAGATTCCCCCTCTCTCTTATTGTGCGCTCTGTCATGTAGCAGATGGAACTTCTCAGCCTTAGACAAGCAGGCCAACTGCTACCCAGGAAAAACAGGGACTTGTCTGGTTTCCCAGTGAGCTCTAAAGATTTATCAGGGCAGTGGTGGCACATGCGTTTAGCCCCAGCACTCAGGAGGAAGAGACAGGTGGATCTGTGTAAGTTCAAGGCCATCTGGTCTACAGAATGAGTTCAGGACAGCCAAGGCTACATACAGAGAAACCCTCCCTTGAATGGATGAGAGATACTGTGATTTGTTTCTTACATCCTGTGACTGGCTATAGTAGGTAAATTGCCTCCTTGGCTAGTCCTAAAATGACACCAGAAATGCTATTGTACCAGAATTTCTTTTGGGCCACCAACCAGCTCCCAAATCATGACATGGGGTCAGTTATGAATGATAAATCTAGCTTAGGCTTATTTCTGGCCAGCTTTTGTAGTCAGTTAACCTGTTTGTGGTTTATCCACCTTTAGCCTCAGGGACGTTTACTTTTCTTCTGCATATCTTACTCTCACTACTTGTGTCTGCTGTCTGTCTGTCTGGCTGCTTGCCCCGGGGAAGAAAGGGCCGCTGAGGACTTCTTCAGCCTGTACACCACCTGCTGCTGCTAAGAAGGGTGGAAACTTCCAGCTCAGGAGCCCATTATTATCTTCTCTGTCCTTTTGTGAGTTCTGTCCACTGCTGCCTCTGGTTGGTCACACCCTCCCTAGGACCAGGCTGCGTTCAGTTTGAGCTGTCTGCTAGATTTTCAGAGTCACACTGGGCAGTTAGGTATTTGCAAATTAGGGTTTAATTCATGTCATATGAGCTAGTTTGGTTTGAGTGAGAGTCAGGATTTTCGAGATAACCCTGAAACAAAGAGGAACTTAACAAAGAGGAAATTTTGGGACTTCCCACCCCCTAATCCAGGGTTTCTTGTTATAGTTTGATATAGTAAATTAATTCCCAATAAAATTGGTAGTTTTATCCCACTGCCTTTGAACATGTAATTTTTTTTTTTTTAAATGGAAGAAAAATCACGCTTGTAATCCTTCCACTCAGGAGGCTGAGGCAGATAAACACACGTACTGTCACCCCCCCCCCAAAAAAAAAGAGATCTCTGTGATGCAGTTACATTAGCTGCCCTTCTGTGGCTGTGATAGAATACCACATAGCAGGGACACATCAGTCCTTGGAGGCGGGGAAGGAAGGCATAGCCTGAAAGGAGGCAGGCAGCCTGGTCCAGGAAGACATGGCATCCGCACACAGGAGGAAGAAGCAGAGACTGGACTGAATGGCCAAGCTGTAACGCGTGAAAGCCGTCCCTGGTTGTGCATTTCTTTCTGCAAAGCCTGACCTCTTAAAGGGTCTGTGATGTCCACACAGCACCATCAGCTGGAGACCAAGTGTTCAAACCCAACCTAAGTATTTATTATTTAAAGATTTTATTTTGTGTGTTGTAGGGATTTTGCATACAATGCCTACAGAGTTCAGAAGAAAAGAGGGTGTTTGTCAGATACCATGGAAACAAAGTTGCAGATGGTTGTGAGCCATCATGTATGTGCTGGGATCTGGGTCCCCATTTCCAGCTCCAAATCCAACAGAAATTTAAAAAGATTTTGCTTAGCATGATGTCACATACCTCATCCCAGCCCCTGGGAAGCAGAGGCTGGCCTGGTATGCCCAGTGAATTCCAGGCTTCCAGGACTGCCTGGTTCAAAACAACAACCAGAAGCAGTTTGCTTTGGGGGTGGGGCGTGGTGGGCAGAGGCTGATATCTGGGATCTTGCCCATTTGCTCTCCATTTTTAATTTTTGAGGCAGTGCTTTGAGTCCAGAGTTAGCCTGCTCCAGGGATCCCCTGTCTTTACCTCCCAAGCTCTAGGATTAGAGTTGGCCTTCATACTTACCTGGCATTTACATGGGTACTAACTGAGGATTTGAACTCTGATCCTCATTTTGTATAGTAAGTAAGCATTTAACCTGCTGAGCCATTGTCCTGGCCTCATGAACTATTCTTTTATTTTGTAGACTTGTGTTCTCTGTATGATCCCTGCTTTTATGTCTGCATGCCTGGTGCTCTTGGGGATCAAAATAGGGCATTGTATTTCCTGGAACTTGAGTTATAGATGGTTTTGAGACACTGTATAAGTACCGGGAATGGAGCCCGGATCCTCTGGAAGAGCAGCCATCTCTCTGGCCCTCTTGATATTATTTATACTTCGGTGGTAAGCTTCTTCATTACAAGATAGATGATAAAGCTTGAGGGGTAGCATGGACCAGAGCACTTACTTAATCTTAGAGCAAAAAATGAGCTATTGGCAGTAGGACTCTCAATTTTTTATCTTGAGAGTCCGTTCTATATGTGAAGTTGCAAAAGAACTCTAGACCCTGCATCCCTCTCTTCACTCTTTCTCACCTAGGGTTGCATGGGATGTGTGGGGAGCTGGGCACTTGTCCAGGCATATTCTCTCACCTGAGATCTCCTGCACCCACCTTCTGTGGCTGCCTGGTGCCTTGTCTCCCTCATTGCATGAGCATAAGGAAGGTGTTTGATTGGGTGTGGCCCCTAGAGACTGGCTTTTTTCTGGTCTACAGCTCCAGTGGGAGCCAGGTCATTTTAGCTGGATTGTTTTCCGTTTGGAACAACTGTGAATGGAGTACTGTGAACATTCTTGCAGTTTTTACATGAGCCTTAGCTTTCATTTCATTGGAACAAATACTCAAGAGGTCACAAATTATGTAAATAAAGGTCTTTGACAATGAAAGGAAGAAGAAATGGTAACCTTTTTGTGTCTATAAAGAAATCCTAAAGTTTACATATTTAGGAGATTCTGTTAAGAACAACTTGGCATTTAATTTCAAATGTATTATTTAAAATAAAATAGTACTTTATTTTTAAAATAAAAACTGGAGAGATGGCTCAACAGCTAAAAGATCTTGTCATACAAATGTAAGGACCAAAGTTCCTGTCCCAGTACCCAGATTTTTATTGTCTTTAAAATACATTTCTGTAGCTGGGTGTAATGGTATACTCTTCTGATCTCAGCTCTGGGAGGCTGGAACAGGAGGGTCACAAGTTTAGGGCCAGCCTGGGCTACATAGCAAGATACTATCCCAAAGCAACGCTTTATGTGAATAGCTCTTTTCTCCTATTTGTGTTCATTTATGTGCTGATGGAAATTATGCTACAGTTTAGATGTCTGTCTGTGGCTGTGTGCCTGAGGCAGTCTGCCGGATGGTGTCTCTGGCACTTCTCTAGCTGTTAGAAACTGCCCTGGGTACTGTCAGCCAGGAGGCTGAAGTTTGCTAAATGGTGTCTGCCTTGGTTCCCACAGGACACGATGTTTGCTAGAGGGCTGAAGAGGAAATACGGCGATGAGGAGGAAGGAGTAGAGGGTTTTGGCCCTGTCCCTTCCTACACCCTGCAGCGGCAGTCACTCCTGGACATGTCCCTGGTCAAGCTCCAGCTCTGCCACATGCTAGTAGAGCCCAACCTCTGCCGCTCAGTCCTTATCGCCAACACAGTCCGCCAGATCCAGGAGGAGATGAGTCGGGACGGCGTGTGGCACGGGACAGCACCCCAGGATGTAGAACGGGCACCAATTGACCGCCTAGTCTCCACAGAGATCCTGTGCCGTACAGCCAGGACAGCTGACGGGGAGCACCCCACTCCTGAACTGGAAGATGGTCCGCTGCAAAGCTCGGTTTCTGAGCTCCCCATAGTCAGCTCAGCTCAGGGGCAAAGGGGCCCTCAGAGCAGCCTCTGGGAGATGGACAGCCCACAAGAAAACCGGGGAAGCTATCAGAAGTCACTGGACCAGATATTTGAGACCCTGGAGAACAAAACCCCCAGTTCAGTGGAGGAACTCTTCTCAGACGTGGACAGTTCCTACTATGACCTGGACACTGTGCTGACGGGAATGATGGGTGGGGCCAAGCCCAGTCTCTGCAGTGGCCTCGAGAGCTTTGCTGCTGCCGCCGCCCCACCCAGCTCTACCTGCAAGTCTGACCTAGCTGAGCTGGACCATGTAGTAGAGATTCTGGTGGGGACCTGAGAGGAGGTCCCTGGTGGGCCAAGGACACCGCCACATCGCGGAGCGCACCTGTACCACCATCCAGAGACAGACAAGCACTTGCCCCAAAGCCAGGGCGCCTCTCTGTCTCACTATGAACATACCCTGGGGCTACACCCCTGAGGACAGAGCAAGCCATTGCCAGGAACTGAGCTCTCTGAAGGCTTTGGGCCCTGGGTTCATTTTCCTGTCTGTGGGACCATTGTGGAGGATGGTGTGCCACAGCTGTGTCTAGTCTATTTTAAATTAGGTAGGTGAACTTTCTAAAATTAAGTTTTATATGTTTTGGGCAATATTTTGTCTTAAGATATATTTTTTAAACTTTTTATACTTTAGATTTTTTTCAGCTATTTTCTTAAAAGTATATTTTTTCTACAAACATCCTCTGCTGCTACATTAGAAACATGTATAACCTAAATAATTACAATTGGTGTGTGTCATTTTTTTAAGGTTTAAATAGAGAATATTTTTTTGATAAAGAGTCTACACTCCCAAGTCAATAGTGTAAATGTGATGGCCAGGTGTTTCCACAAGAGGCCCCATCTCCGCCTGCATTCTAGGGAGCGAGTGCCTGCCAGGAGAGCCACACACAGCTCTACCGCTCGTCTCCGGGTCTGCTCTGCAAGTGCTGTCTTCCTGGGCTTCAGTGTGCAGATGGTTTATTTATGCCTATTTATGTATTAATGCCACTGAAGGCTACGGTCAGATGTCTGGAAACTACACCACCAGTTCTGTCTCAGACAGTTAACTCATGCAAGGTTTGTCCCTGGCCATTACTGTCTGTTTCCCAATACAGCACTGTGTGTGACAGGAGATCATGACATCCTAACAACACTCAACGCCTCTTGTTCCATGTCAAGCGTGTCCATGGAGGCTACCGGGTACTGTGCCTATGTGTGCTTGGAAAGGGTGTGTACCGTCACTCATGTCCTTAATCGGGAATACTTGCTTGCTTTAAAAATGGTGCTCGAACATTTTAAGGTTAAAAATCTGACTCCAAACAATTTTAGGGCCCCTTCATCTTGGGGTGGCCTTTGTGCTGTCTGCTTGGATCTCAAGGTTCTGCTACCTGATCACGTGTCAAACACCCCCCCCCAATATGCATGGTTTTTTTTTTTTTTTTTTTTTTTTTTTTTTTTTTTCTCTTGCTTTTTTGGACTTCTCCACCTGAGCCTAAGAGGTTTTGTTTTTGTTTTTCCTGTATTTGTATGACTATCCTTTAATATCAACAATGTAAACCTCACTTTATTAAAAGTATCCAGTATATGAAATGTGTTGTGAACGTTTTTCCACCCTAATCCTTCAACTGAGTTTGCTTTCAGCCGTCTCGGCATTTTATATGGTTTGTAATGTAGGCGAAGAACTTTGTTGTTGTTGTTGTAAAAAGGCAATGGGTTTATTTTCCTGACTTCATGGCTCCCTTACCTTTCAGTTCCTGCTGCTTTCCCTGGCCTAAGGGAACAGACTGACTGAGTGAGCCCCAGCCTGTGACAATGATCTTAAGTGTGTCTCTTTATAAAAGCTTAGGGTGGGCGTTGAGACAGGGTTTCTCTGTAGCTTTTGGTGGAATTCGCTGTGTAGACTAGGCAGGCCTGGAACTCAGGTCCGCCACACTGCCCAGCAGCATGGTTTTTCTTTACATTTTATGGAGGAATGTATTTGTCACTGGCTGTGGAGGTCAGAGGGCCTTTTCAGAGTCAGCTTCTCCTATGGGCGGGGGGGTGGGACTCAGGTCCACAGACAGCTGAGCAGCCTCACCAGTTAGTTGGCTTTGCTTGGAAACATTCTGCTCCCTCTGGTATCTATAGTGTCTGCTTGGCAGTCTTAAAAAGTAGCACCTTTAAGATGCTTCTAAAAGAGAGCCTCTAGAAGACCTGAGGCTGAGGGACCAGCCTACCCAAGGCTTCTCACCCTGCTGACCTTGGAAGGCAGCGAACTCCACAGTATAGTTGTGAGTTTCCTGGGCACCTTTGGCTTTAGTCATGCATTTGTGACATTTTTAGATTAGATATAAATTTGATGACTGCTTGGAAGCAGATTTTCCATGTGTTTGCTAATTTTGTTTACAAATACTTAACTAGGAATGCAGTGTTAAAGTCTCAGCACTTGAGAAGCTGGATTGCCAGAAATTCAAGGCTAATTAGGTAGGCATCACTGGCCAGTGCCTCTAAGAAACCACTTGGTCAGTGGCAGGCCAGGAATGTAGGTGCTGCTGGCAGCAGCCTGCCTCCAGAGCGGCTTTGTGTGCAGACAGTGGGCTCAGCTGCCCCAAGTTTTTCATGCTTAGAACTGCATGTACCTCAAATGTGTACAAGATTGGTCCTACAACATTCCATCAGGGGTAGGGTGGGACCCATGGGGCTCTGCTCCTCTCTAAGGATCTGTTCAGTTACGGGTCAAGGGAATGGTGTGGTCATTGACATAGTGGTCCCCATTCTCCAGTGAATAATGTTCCCACATTTGTGCAACCTAATCTAAGTCACATTTAACAAAAGACAGGGCAAGGAGATTTGGGGAGAATGGTTCAGGGGGACAAGGGATGAGATGACTACATGCATAAAGTAAACATTTTGTATGTCCCAAATACGCGAACCACATCCTCTACCCATCCTTCAGTTCCCACCTCATCCCTCTAGACAGTCAGTTAGCTTCAATGTGTTGCTTTAGGGTCAGGAAGTTTGTGAAAGCAGCTTCCAGGCACCCGCAGGGAGGGGTCTCCTGCTGCCCCTAAGCTGAAGCAAGCCAGACAGAAGCCAGCTCAGCAGGTTCAGGCTCTGCTGGGGGTAGCGCTCCTCCATGCCCAGTTCTTGGTGAGGAAGAGGGTGGGAAGAGCAAGGGCTCCGAGGACTTGCTATCTTCTGTTCTGTGCTGTTCAGGTGCTGTACTCAGTTCAGGCTGTGCTGTCCCAGGCAGCTGGACCCCTGGCTCTCAGCGTTCACATGTTCTGAGAAGCTCCTGGCAGCTTCACCTCACCTGCGGCTGCTCAGGGCCCAAGAGTGGAGTGTGTTTAGAGCGCTTGCAGGATGTTCTGCCTTACATCGCTTGCTCACTCCTTTACCTGACAGAAATGTAGGCATAAGTTTTAAGATGGCTAAACAGAGCTGGCGACTGAAGGTATTAATCTTTCCAGTGATTTCTGAGAACATACATAATCCATATCCCACTCCCAAGATAGGGTTTCTGTGCATAGCCCTGACAGTCTCGGAACTCATTCTGTAGCCCAGGCTGGCCTCAAACTCAGAGATCCACCACTCCCAGCTTGGTACTTGATTGTTAAAGTACTCCCAGTGTTTCCAGGTTACACGTTAGGGGTCTCGAATGGACTTCCTGAACAGTGACTTGAGACGCCATCTCTACAAACTGCCGCCCAGCCTCTAGGATTTCACACCGAAAGAGTCATCTGCTTGTCTCTGTACCTGGCTTGTTCCATTCACATCATGGCTTCCAGGCTCATCACGGTTTCATCTCTTCCTGGGTAGACGGTATTCTTCCTTTATCTACTCATCCACTGCAGGACACCCAGACGATGCCCTCTTAGATACTGTGAACCAGGCTGCAGTGAATGTACAATACCCCAAAGCAGAAGCAGCAGCAGATCACATGGACGCTGTTTTTAATTTTGGGAGAGGATCTTTATACTGTTTCCCATAATAGTTGTTCTCATTTACACCTCTTCCTCTCCATGTGCTTGCCAGCCCATCTGCACTCTCACAGCACTGGACAGCGCTCCCCGGGTCCATGATGGTGAGAATGTTGTTCACATGCCTACTGGCCCTTGTTTTTTCTTATTTATGTGGTGCTATCTTGTTCATACTCTAACAAAGTATGCCTGAAGGTCAGAGGGTGGAGCTAGCCACTAGTTAACCATAGAGGTCTGGAGCTCTGTACAAACAGGAAGTGATAATGGCTCCAGTATGTAACATGCGCTCTAATTGGTTTTAATAAAAACCCACAGCCAGATGTTGGCAAATGCTGAAAGATCAGAGAGAGAAAACAGAAGCCACAGCCAACTCTTCCCTTGCTAACTCCTCAGCCGAAAGAGCATGAGTTCCTGTCTCCTGCCTAGCCATCTCACTTCCTGTCTGTCTGTGCAGACCTATGGTTAACTTGTGGCTAGCTCCACCCTCTGACCTTCAGGCAAGCTTTATTTGTTAGAGTATAGACAAGACATCACCACACGTTTACATGTTTTTTGAGGAGCATTTTTTTTTTACTCCAGTTACCTTTTCTACTGGGTAGTCTGAATAATTTACACACAGTTTCCTTTCCAGACAGCAGTACCCCTGCATCTGCAGCCCCAGGGAAGCTGCAGCTTCCTCCTGCCATGTACTGGCCAGTGCTGCTCTCTGAAAATGAAAAGTTAAGGCGGCTTTCCTAAACATCTGGCACCCCAAAAAGCAAATGAAAACAAACACCCTTCCCCCAAACAGGATAGAAATAATGGGTTATCCTTTTGTTATAAGCCTCAAACTATACATCACCTAGTGGTGGCTGAGTACAAGGTTCAGAGGTACCAACAGCACCTTCCTTCTCTGCTCCTGACGGGCAACTCCAACATTCTGTATGTCCTGTCTACACCGTTGTCTGGTTCTGGACAGCTTGGTCAGTTCAGTCAATAGTGAAGCCAATGTCTCCTGAGCAAGCCAATCCCCATAGTAGCCTCTCCAAGAGCGAATGAGTCAATAAGAACACAGGCTTATACAGTCTTTTCTTTTTAATAAAAGGTTACAAAATTCAGTGCTGCCTGCTTGTGTCTGACCCTCCCTAGAAGAAAACGGTGTCTCAGTAGTTGACCAAGGAAGCTGTCCTCCTGGGACATCTACTCATCCTACTCAGAAAAGCTGTCCCCAAGGCTGCTGAGCGAGGGCAGGAGAAAAGTACCCAACACAAGGGTGTTCACTAATACCTTAGGAAAAGGACAAGGGGAGACAGGGCCAGGGTGGGCTCTGACTCCCAACTTCTGAACTCATGGCTCCAACTATGAGCCAGGCAGGGGTCATCAGGCACCTGGTGCCAGCCTACAGTGTCCCCAGAAACGCTATGGAGACTGGCTCTGCCCTAGGACATTCCCTGTGCACCCCTTCAGATCTGAGTGCACGAGATACGGTGTAGATGACAGAGGTCCTAGGAAACTAATATGGATCTGGGAAGCGGTGCCACGGAACAGTTCTCAGATTCTAGTACTAAAACAAACCAGTAAGAATGTAAAATATTAGCAAACACCATTATTAAAGAACGCCATTTTTAGGTTGCGTGGAGTGAAGATCTTTTTTTGTGGGATGGTGATGTAGTGCCCATTTCCATGTAGTGGCGTCTTCAGAAACAGGCTGTAGGTAATCAGGCTGCCCTGCCTGCAGCCAGATGTCCCTGAGAGCTGAGAAGAAAGTGGTGGTCAGGTACGAGGCGTGACACCGAGTAGCCTGCACACCATGGACCCCCGGGATTCTCTCCTAGGTCTCAATGTGCAATTCAACCAGAGAACCATCCCAGTGGAGGATGAGGACAGGCCACAAGAGTCATCCACTCTGCCCTGGCCTCTTCTCCCTGTGTCTAGTCCCTGCCACATAACTTCCCACGTGGCCAGACCACGTTTACAATTCTGTGGCCGCCCTGCCGTGAAGAAGCAGGCCCTGTGTCCCTGGCCTTGCACTGGGTCTGGTCACCTCAACCTCAGCCCTTGTGCTCCTGGCTCCAGCATCCACTGGTAGACTTCACAGATTTCCACCCTCAGAGCTCCTGTTGGGCATCCTCCAAGTACTGTGGTGAAGGATGAACGTTCTAAATGTCTTGTGACTCAAAGGCAAGTGCAGCTCTCCTTCAGAGGTCTGTCCTTTCCTGAATGCCATAGAACCCTCCATCTGCCCCATACACCAACCAAGGCTGCAGCCTACCTCGGCTGGGTGGCACCACAGCGTCCTGAGGCTTGGCTTTCCATAGAGCCACAGGGCTGTATTCCACCCTCTTCCCCCGCCACCTCTCCCCAACACTACAAAGCAGATCCCGTGGCATACCATCCAGCCACTGCCTCAGCAACTCTCTCCTGGGCACACACGGAGCCCTTTGAAATTCCTGGTTAGAGGGGGGCACAAGATCAACAGGCCTGCCCCCCCTTCCTGGTAACAGACTGTAGGAACCAGTCCTTTTCCTGTCCACTCCTCTTCTGCTGGGCCCTGCTGTGAGGGACTGTTGGGTTGGCTGCAGAAGGACCTCAGACCTGTAGGTAGCTGCCTCTGCCAGCCTCTACCTCGGCAGCTGCCACCAGGCCTCCTGAGGCTCATCCCCACCCTCAGGCTCTCGGCACTCTGAGGGTGAGCTTCTGACTACTTACTTTGGTCTGAATCAGGGCCTTGCAGTGGTGTAGGCGGAAACTGCTGACTGCCAGCAGCTCTTCAGGCTTTCTGAGGTCAGAACCTTCTAGAATGTGACCCTGGCCTCCAGAAAGGCTCTAAGGAAAGAAACCTCTGTTACAGTGTTGCCATGCTCGTTCTAAAATTGCAGTATTAATCCTGGACGCCTTGGGTCCCACAGAGGGTCAGGCCCACAGCCTCCCTCCCCGCCTCGCCTGCCAATCTGCTTAACATCACCTGGTTCTTGAGCCTCTAGGCTCAAGCTGGGGTGCTCCTTAGCTATAGCGTGAACGTCTCTAAACGTGTGTGTTATACACTGAATTCCTGAGTTCCACATGTTAACCTCATTTGGAGGGAAACCTTGGCAGGTGATTAGGGTTATCAGAATGCTGCCTTTGTGGTGGCATTGGTGGCATTGGTGGCTGCGTGAGTGGAGACTAGAGCTGGCATGTTTGCTGTGTCTCACCTCATGGTGCTGAGCCGTGTTACAATGGAGCCCGACACGGAAGCAGGTACCAGCACCACATTTTTAGACTCCCAGCCTCCAGAACTGTGTTTCTCATGAATGTGTAAATGCTATAAACTACCTGGTCTTAGGTACTTTGTTACAGCAACGGAAAAAGAATGTCTTCATGGTCACCTCCAGGAAGTCCTCCTGCACCCCCTGGAGCCCGACACCCGGGAACTCTGCTTCCTAGCCTGCAGGTTCATTTTTTCCTGCATTTTAAGGCCAGGCTGACCTGCTCTGTGGGGTGTGGGTAGGTAAGGGCTCTGGGAGGATGCCTGTCTCTCCTCCCAATTCCTCACTCACTTCCTGACCAGCCTGGTGTCCCTGGGCTGATAAGATAACCAGCCTACATTGTCCTCACCAGGACCAGGCTGCCTGCCTTCTTGGCTTCTTTAAGTTTCTCTATTGCATGATATTTAAGAATGAAAAGACCCTTGCCACACGACCTCTGGCAGGCGGCCTTGCCCTGAGGTGCAGTGTCTCTGGAAGCTCAGGAGCTTGGCCTGTGCACACTGCTGCTGTACGGGACTCCATACGCCGCTCTTCTCCAGCCTCCTCCTGAGCATTCCCTTCTGCTCGGCCCTGGACTTGGCTGGCCCCCACCTCAGACATCAGGCTTTCTTCCTGGGACCACCATATGTTTAGAGGACACCAAGTGGCTTCGATCTCCAACTCACTACATTGCTGAGGTGTCTCAGGTGTGCCCGATCTCACACACATCACCTGTCCATGAAGAATTTGCTGCGCACAGCTGTAGCCCTGGCCATACAGGCACCTGGCTCCTGCCTGTCCTCCCTTTAGGGATTCCTAGGAGCCCTACCGCCAACAGGGTAGCACTTCTGGCGATCTGCTAGGACACAGCATCACCTCCTCCCACCCACTCCTGACCCACACACACCTGCTGGGGTCCCGCACATGCGTCTAAGGACATCCCACCCCACGGCCTGCCTGTCATGCGACTGCCTTGCCCTCCCTAGCTCTGCCCTGTTCCAGTCTCATTCTGAGAAGTACTCCATGCCCTTGTAGAAGGTGGCCTGCTCAGTGCTGATGGCGGGTAGGCGTCCTTACTGCAGAGTCTGTGTTTAACACCACCCACCTTTACTGAGGCAGTGGTCTCCGAAGTGTGCCATGCCAGGGTGACTGGCCACAATGTAGTTGCTACTTCCCTGTTACCGTTTCTTGAATATGAAAAATTCCCACAGTTGGCGGCTTTTCAGAAGTGACTGGATCTACCAGTGGGTTCACAATCCCACAGCATTGTTGTGAAGTGACGGGAATTTTACGGTGAGGCCTGGTTGAATGAAGTGGGTGAAGGGAGGGGCCCTTGAGGGCGCTATCGTGCCTTGGTCCCTGACTGTTACTGCTTCTCTGCTTTCTGTCCACTATGAGTTTTCTTCTGTGATGCCCTTCATCCCCCCCCCCCCCCAGGCCCAGAAACACAGGACCAGCTCAGCACAGGATGGAGTTGCTAAAATTTGAGCCAAAATAAATCTTTTTTTCTCCCTCAGGTATTCTGCATGGGTATGTTACCACAGAGGGAGAAGCCCGCCTGCCACACTCCCCAAGCCTCCTTACCTTCTGAGCAGCATCTATGCCAAGGACAGGAAAGAGGTTTTCCCGGCAGTGAGATTCACTCCAGAGACACGGTGAAGCAGACAGGCGGTCGGTGTTCTGGAGGGCTCTCCAGAGTTTCCTAGATTCAGAACTGGGAGAAAGACACAGTCAGGAGACTTGAAAGACTTCCCGGCAGCTCACTGACACCCAGCCCCACAGCAGAGGGCTCTCCTCTCTTGTAAACCCAAACATTCACTATCAACATGTCTTCCCTTGTACCTGTCCACATGTCCTCTACCTATGTATCTTCTTGGAGAAGCCCTGAGGTCAGCTTTACCGGTGTTATTCACTCAAATGTCTACAACTGATGCGTACAATGCAGGGTGCATACTCAGGAGAATCAATGAGAAAATCCCTAGGGGAATGATGACTATGGCCATGTTAGTGCTGGCTGCCCTTGAGAAGTCAAATGGCACCCAGGAGCTGCAAGGCCATACAGGATGTGCCAAAACTGGCTCATCCTTTTAAAACACGTGTTTCTGGCCATATAAGAGTGTTTCACCCTAAAGCAATGTCCACCCTCCTGTTCCAGCGTGTCTAGCCTTGCCAAGCCTGACACCTAGCCACCTGGGCCTCTGAAGAACTTGACAATGGTACAGCCACCACTAGCCTGCCGGGGCTGCCCTGAGGCAGGCACTTCTGACAGGCTGCACTTACAGGAGCACCAGGCAGCTGGGCACTGCTGGTGACAGCCCCACAGTCCAGGCCTAAATCCCCAGGGCTTCTTCCTATAACTGGCTAAGGGTCACAGGTGTCAGGTACCACTGAATCAGGGCCCTAGCAGCCCTGAGAGGCCACACCAGGGGCACTACTGGAGTACCCAATTCCAGGGCCCTCTGGAATGCTGTGGCCTACAGGGACGCCGTACCCTCTAGGAACAACCAAAAAGCTCTGTGAGACCACTTTAGCAAGCAGAAATGAAGCTGCTGTGACAACCCTTGTTTCCGATCTAAGTTCATTACCACAGTCTAGGCACGGATGCGAGGCCATTGTTCTCTTCACTGCTTATTTCTAAGAAATGGTCTAGAGAGCAAATGTCTTCAGCCGCCCGTTCCACTGGGACTTCTTGAAATGCAAACCTAAAAACCTTCTCATAGCTGAGGATGGACTGGAAAAAAAAGAACATCCTGGTGTTAGGAGCAATGTATACAATAGGTAACCCTATTCCAAGCAGCTGGCTTGACATAACTGCATTTTGTCCCTGGTTCCACGCTCAGTTGGTGTTCCCATCACTAGTGACATCATCCCTCAGAATCTCCAGGCTTCCTAAAAATACAGCGAAAACCACGGGCTTGCCGCGAGCGGGTGCAGAGCTAAAACTTTGTCAGGGACATGTGGGGGGGACCTTCAGCCCTGTCCCTGTTCCCATGTCAAGGGGCTGGGAGGTCCATAGGAATGACAGTGGAAACACTCTTCACCGTGCACAGGCTCGCAGCCCAGCTGGGTGCACATCCCTACACTCATCCCGTGTTTTCTGTAAAATCCCCACCTCGAACCAGTGTTTCCTAACATTTCAAACATGAACCAATGTAAGAGCGGTCCTCATTGGAGGTCTCGGCAGCAGACTCCACCCAGCAGCACCTTCCCTTTCCTCCCTTTCCATTTGTGTCTGTTCACCCGTGTTTGGGGGGGGAGAACCGCTGAAAGGCAGGGCTCACAGGCTACCAAGGAGGCAAAGGTGTGGTCAGCTCCGAGGGCTGAGCAGGACCCTGGCTGGTACAACCTGCTTCAGCAACTGTGGTATCTGATTTTCAGCTCCGAGGTGTTCTAACTCTGCAGGTTCAGGGTCCCGCCCCGTGCCCCGAACAGGACCACACAAGTGCAGCTCGGGCTTGGGCCGCCCTCCACCATGCCCGGTTCAGATCCATTTCTTCGGAGTCCCCTGGTCCAGCCCTCCTTTCCTTGTCTAATAGCTATACAAAACACTTCCCACTCGACCACAGAAATACCTCTGAAGACGGGCCGGCAGCGGCGCCTGGCACCCAGGGTCCATCCTGCTGCACCTGGCAAGAACCATGCCCTTTGGGGACTGGAGGGGGTCTCTGCTGATGTTCTGTGGCTCTCCCTAGGAGTTCAAAGGACTGAGAAAACTGCTCAGACTTAGCTGAAGACTCCCGGAAGCCCTGGAACTCTCCCCACCCGCCGCTTAGCTCCCCTGGGTGTGGGCAGCTGAGTGTACTGGTGGGGAGACCCTCTTCCAGCCTGGAGCTGCTAGCCTTCGCATCAGGCAGTGCCAGGGAACCGTCGCAGCAGCTTCTCCTCTGCTCCAAACCATCCCCACTCTCTTCTCCAGCTGTCCGGTGGAGGGACCCCTCTCCAGCTTCCTGTGCGAGGTCACTCACTGACTCTATCCTCATCTCCCGCCCGTCTTGCATCTTGGTGTGTCCAGGCCAGCCGACCCGAAGGAAAGCTTTTCAGAAGACATGCAGCCGCTGAGCGGGAGTTGCCCAGGGCTTCCTGGGAGTGTTCACGTGCCTCTGTGGAGCCGACCCCTCCTGGCACGCGCGGGGGGCCAGTCCTGCACGGGGGCGTGTCCTAGAGCCAAACAAGCGAGGCGATGGAAGGCCTGTGGGCAGACGATCTGCGGGCGCACGGACGGACGGACGGACGGATGGGCCGCAGACCCGGGTCTGCGAGGCCGCGGGCTGAGGGTAGGGAGCTCGGGGGATCGCGTCCCAGGCGCGAGTCTCACGGGCTCCGGGACCGGATCCGAGGCGCGGACGCGGACGGAGGGGGTCCTGGGCGCCCAGAGGCCCGCAAGGCGCGCACCCACCTTCGCCACCGCGACGCGCCTCCCGGCGCCCGGCCGGCGGGGAGATACCCACAGCCAGCTTAGCCCGCAGCCAGCGCCGCGCGTTGCCCGGCAACGGTGCGCGCCCGCAGGCTTCCGGCGTGCTTCGCGTGGCGTCAGCACGCACCGCGTGGCGTGGCCAACAGCTCCCCCGCCCATAGCCCCGCCCTCTCCGGCTCCTAGCGGGGCCGCAACTTATGCAACTTACGGAGGGAGTCTGCGGGCTGCCCTGCCAGTGGGACGCAGCCTGCTATCCTGGCCGGCTTTCCTGCCTCCTCCGCCCTACAAGTGAGCCCTTCTCATTTTGTTAGGGTGTCCGGTGCCTGTGTGCCACCGATGTGTCCCCCGCAGTCGCACACCTGGCCCGGGAGGAAAGGCACTACTGCCACGGTGCTGGCCCCTCAGCCCACTCCCTCCCACCGTGCCTGGCCTTGGTTCCTGCACTCCTGTTGAATGGTTTCTCAGGACTGGAGGCCCCGTGGGTACGATGGAACAAGCCTGTCTCGCTGATTTAGCCTGTTCCCAGACCACTCTTGCTTGCACGAGGATGAGGGTCTACTGCCTGCAGAGTAGGAGAGCCACTGCCTTCCCTCATGCGCTCACAGTCGGGTCCTGGTCATCAGCCAGTCCCAAGGCAGAGCAGGGCCCGCCTTGGCCATGGACAATCAGACCCTCATAGCGTTCTGCAGCCAGCTGTCCTGGGTAAGGGCCCTCAGCCACAGACATCCCTGGCCCTTTCTCATCTGTTCCCATCGGAGACTCATGAAGTCGGCCTGCAGCGTGTCACATCTCTACCCTAGCCATCCGGGACTCCCAAGCATTACCAACCTCCCCTGAGGAACAGGTGGGTCAGGCCTGCATCTAAACCCATCTCCAGCCTCCTCCTCCACACACAGACTTCCCCCTCCCCTGGACCGCCCTGGGCCTTGCCCTGGCATGAATTACTCTGTCCCTCATTCCCAGCCGGCTCCTCAGAAGACCTTTTGGAAAAAATTTGATTTAAAAGTGACAAGATGAGCTCATTCTCGGCATCTTGGACCACAGCCTTCCCCGTTCCCTCGGGCAGACCGTCCTTCCTGGCACTGTTCTGTGAGCCCTGCAGGCAGAGCTCAGGACTGGGTCTTGGCTGAGCCATTCCAACTCTTAAGTGGCCCAGCAGGGTGGTGTCAGTCAGACGCTGTCTGTGCTCACAGACACTGACTTCTGTTGGCCTCATTATGACCCAGCAGGTCCTCTCTGCCCATTCCCACTACTCCAACCCCCCCCACTGTCCTTGCTGTCCTTGAGGTCCAGGGAGCTGGAAGGAGACAGGAAGACTAATGTGTGGCTGGGCTGCCTGCCCCCAGTACCTCCCGAGTCTGTCTGGGTCTCAGCTTTGTCTGGTAGGAGGGAAGACCAGAGGACACAAGGTTCTAGTTCTGGGGTCACAGGCCCAGGTTGGGGTGACCTGTGTGACCAGTGAGTCAGCTGAAGATGGTCCCCAAAGATGTCCCCGTCCTAATCTCCAGAAGCCACGGATGGGCGTCCTGTATGAGGTTGAAGCGGGGGTCTGGAGCTGTGGAGATAGCCCTGGGTCATGTAGCTGTGCCGTGGGGGAACAGGTCCCCATGAGGAGGCAAGAAAGCTGGGTGTGATGGCTCGGGCCTGTCATACCAGCCCTGGGAAAGCTGAGGGAGGAGCATCCAAAGTTAGAAGCTAGCCTAAGCTACATTGTGAGTGTGAGACTAGCCTGGGAAACACAGTGAGACCCCAAGTAGCCGGAGAGAGGGGGTGGAGAGAGGTAGGTGTGTGGCGACACATGTGCCAAGCCCCCTCCAAAGAGACAGCCCTGCAAACATCCAGCAGAGGAAAAACAAACCAACCAACCAACCAACAAGTGCCCGCCATTGTATCCCAGTCCATTAGTGATTGCTGCAGCAAACACAGCGAACCAGCAGGCCTGGGGACCCCAGAGAGCGGGTCCGCCTTGAGGAAGGGGTGGCTAGTGCTGACTGGAGGAGGAAGTCAGACAGCCCATGTAGGTGGGCAAAGGAGCAGCAGCTTGGACTAGAGGGCAGAGGGTCCCTAAAGCTAAGGTGAGAGGGTGGGCTGGGAGTCCTAAGCGACCAGGAAAGGGCAGAGCCAGTGCCAGGAGAAACCTGACAGCCCTCCGTCCCCACACTCGTCCGCCCTTCTCTAGCCCCCAGTTCTTCTGCCTGGGGTAGCGCTGCATCACCCTAAGCACACTTGGCGCCTCCAGTAAGGACTGTCACAGAAGCCACCGGTGTCTTCCAGTGAGACGGGAGGGTCACATCCTGGCTTCTGGGCCTGTGGCTGGCACAATCTCAGGGCCGGCCTGCTTAGCCCACTGGTATAGGGGCGGCAGAGCACCCCGATATGCCCAGCCATCTCCCCACTTCCTGACCCCAGCTGTGTGCTGAGCTGCATGGATGCAGGGCTGGGAGGACCTGGGGACCATGCCCAGACCTGACAAGTACTCAGCTCTGAGGGCCTCTGGCCAGGGCGTTCCCACCTTCCCAGGGCAGCCCTCAGCCTGTTTACCTGCAGGCTTGGAATCATCTCCATCGTCCGAACAGAACAAAGGGTCGGGATGAGTAGGGTGGATGCGAGGAGAGTGGCCACAGATGCCACGGCCTTCTGCATGCCTGTGGCCTGGGGCGGGGCAGGGCCATGATGATAGCAAAGCTATTTTCGCCATGTTGCTGTGGCTGCTGCAGGATGCATCAATCATTGATGCCCTGGGCATCATGGCAGCCTTCCTGGAGAGGCAGTGGAGCATTGGGTCAGGCAGGTGGGGAGGGGCAGAGAAGTGAGACAGCCACCACCACATCAGGTCCAAGCCTTTCTGCGCCTCCATTCCCCAGGGCCCAACCTCTGTGGGGAAAGATGACGACAGGGTGTCACAGAGACACACAACACCCCTTCGTGTACTGGGTGTGGTTGCGGGCTGGGTCATCTCCCCACATGCCAGGGGAGGGGGTGTCCGTTCCTGAGCCAGACCTGGCTGCAGGAGCCTTCCCCAGCAGGGCATCTGTCCCCCCCGAGGAGGACACGGGGAGGAGGCTGGAGCTGGAGCGTGATGACGGGAACTCCTGGCAGTGTGTCTGCTCTGCAGCAGAAGATGGTCAGGCTTCAGACTGGGGGAAGGGACAGCCCATGGAGCGTAGCAGGTCTCCTGCCTCATAGGCCATCCTCCCCAGTTCCTGTTCTCTGTGATCCCAGGGCTAGGTTTAAGCTTCAGAATATGACTGGTGGTGGGGAGCAAAGTCTGGCATGTGGCTGGTCCACCCACGCATGTGCAGCCTGGCTTCTGTAACGGGCCTTCCAAAGGTGGTGAGTGAGCCACAACCCATGAGACCCCAGGAGCACTACTCAGGAGTGAGCAGGCGGCCCCCTGTGCTCTGCTGTACATATCTGTGCACATGAGCCTTTGTGTATGCACAGGAGTGTTTTGCGAGTTCGTGTATACTGGTGCAAATCCGAGGTGGTCTGTGTCGTGTGTGTTCGCATGAGAACGTGGTCTTGTTTTTCTGTCTGCGGCTCTCCCCTGGGATGGAAAAGCTCTCCAGGCAGATTACCCCAAGGTGTGTGTCCCTCACACTGTCTACTCTGACCGTCTAGCCTGAGGGATCTCCCAGGAGATGGCAGCCGGATCCCCGTGTTAGGTCCTCACCTTGTCTTGACAGTCAAGCTACAGCCCCAGTGCTAGACTCCTGGCTCCAGGGGACTGCCTACCAGGCCTGAGTCTAGGCCTGAGGAGGAAGGGAGAGCCCAGTGGAGGAAGCTTAGAGGGTCTCAGGTGTCTGGAGGGAGGCCTCACGACCAAGCACAACTCTCCTAAGTATGCTCTCCTCATACTGATAGCGGCAAATGGGAGGGCGCTGGCACACCTAGGTCCCCTCACCTAGTACCGTGTCCCTAACATGACAGCCCCAGGCCTGTTCTGTTCGCTCTTGGGCAGCCTGGATCACATCCACTTCCCCCCGAAAGCTGATGGGAGCCACCACAACCATAGGTGGATCATGCTAGACAACCTGAGACCACTTTGCTTTGAACTATGTTGCCCAGAGACAAGGGACACAGCTGGGTCTGCACCCAAAGGTCTTTGGTCCTACGAAACTGTACCTTGTTCCTAGGGCCCTGCTGTCAGATCCTGAGGTCAAATTCATATACACTGGATTGGCAGGCTGAGACTGTCCAGCCTACCCAGCAGACAGAGAGACCCATATACCCAGAGACAAGGTAGTGTGTTCTTCATCCAGGGCATTTCCCCAGGGAGAGGGTGAGACTTGTGTCCCACCAAGGCAAGGCTGTGGCCTGTTCCGTTGTAGAAGGCTGCCAGGGCCCCTTCCCAGCAGTGCCGGGTATCTGTCTGACCTGTGTGTTGTTGGCAGGCTGCCCAGCACTGCAGCCCAGCTAACGGGAACTGTCTGCCCAGAGTGACTCATCCCCATGCTCCCTGGCTCACCTGGGCCCCGACTTCTGTGGGTCGTGCCCGCTCGCACCTGTGTGCATGTGTACAATCTATGTCCTGTTAATGCACATCTGTATATGCAGGTGTGTGTGTGTGTCCTCGGGGACAAATCCCAGGTGGCCTGTGAGAGTGTGTGTTGTGCTGATGTGAGTGTGATTTTGTTCTGGTGTCTGTGTGACTCTTCTGCTGCGGCTTAGCCTCCCCTGCCTCCCACCCCATCTTTTTGCCCTAGAAAAGGTTGTGTGTGTACCTCCCCCTCTCTGTCCACCTGGCATGGCCAGCGCGTTGCCAGGGATAGGTCTCCCCCTCAGGTCTGCACCAGGCTGGGGGTCAGGCAACTTTGCTTCTGTGGAAACAGAGCTTGCACTGTTCCCTCCCCCCCACCCCCCTTCCCGGAAAGTGTTCCCTGTGCTCACGCAGAGCCCAGTGAGATCCTGCCCTCCCCTGTCAGGACCCTAACCCAGTTCTCTTTGTTAGCATCCAGAATGTCCCAGGGTCATTGAAATCCCACCCAACCTCGCTGCCCTCATCCAGCAGGTCCTGATGGCTCCCCCAAGCTGTCGACCCAAGCCCTTTCACAGTCTTCCTTAGTCC